CAGTTATACCAGTTTTCTTCAAATCCTTCTGAATAGCTTAGAATGTTGATTTAAAGTAGCCGACCCTGCGGGATGAATCGCATTTGACTCCCTGCTCATCTCCATAAAAGTAATGGGTCAAACATGTGATGTATTGTTAGCAACACAGTTCATGCATCACAAATGCGACAAATGCCTTATTTTTTTTCCAGCGTGTGTGTTCTGTAATGTTAGCAACACGCTACTGTGCCAAAACGTTTGTGCAATAAATGCTATGAGAGTTTGAAACATTTCGTTTAGACAAAAAACATGCTAACATGAAGTTATTAGCCCGCGAATTCAACCAAACGTTTTACTATAGCTTTGATTTCTCCCCTACAGCTCTTCTCGAGGCGCATTTTGGCTTTGGGAATGGGAGCATCACATGATGCATGTGACGCGCTAATTACACTTCAACCAATCAGCGTCTCAGAAACAAGCACTTGTCCGCTGGGCCAACCACAAACATATTTTTCGCACCAGTAGAGGTGCACACGGTTTTTGTCACGACGGCAGTGGTCGCGAGGGTAGTGTTTTCACAAAGCGTTGACGGTGCAAGTTGGACTCAGAAATAATTAGATTTGATTTCCTTATTATCCTTTGATGATGCTCCAACTGCACTACCAGGTGCAATTATAGGTCTTGAGGTTTCATTAGAGAATATTCTTGAAATATGCCCTAAAGATGGGATTCATAGGCATAGGTAAGACCCTGCAGAAGTCGAGTGTCTCACACGCATATATTGCGGGGCTGCCAGGTCCGGCCAGAACACAAACCACAGGGGCACACTTTTGGCAGGTAACTCTGCACCAATTGAATGCTGACAGCACGTGTCCCCGGCCGCCACAGCCGCGCTCGAGGTTTACCCGCCTCCTGGTCTGCACATTCGGATTGGTCACAACTATATGTGTGCACTAAATCGTGGTAGAAGGGGCATCCAGTGCATGGCAAGAACGAAAGCCCGCTCATCACGGTAAGGATACCATTTTGGACACCCCTTTTGGGAAGCTAGCCACCCATGCGCGAAGCTTCCGAGGAAACTAGTAACTGCACAGTACGTCACGATTATGTCTTATCAGGAGCGCCTCCGCCTGGCCCAGTATAAAAACCTAGGCTGGCGGTCATGCGACTTTCAGCACAAACATCGAGGCTTTCATCTTTCACCACTGAAGCCAGTTATGGCCCGGCCCGCAGCAGGCTACGAGACACCTGCCTGAGCCGAACACGGGGCAGCGGGGATTGCTTTGTTGTGACGAGCGGGGCTTTCATTCTTTTTTGTGCACTGGACGCCCCTGCCACGATTTGGCGCACTGCCACGATTCTGCCACGATCTGGCGCGCATATGTATGTAGCTTTGGTCAATATGTAGCTATATGTAGCTTTGGTCAATCCCAGTTTTAATGTAAGACAGGAGGCGAGTAAACTCCAACGCTGTGCGCGGCTATCCAGGTGTCTGCAAAGGTTTTTATATTTTGTTCCGATCAAATATTCGACACGACTACTTAAGCAGACAGGTTCTGTATGCATCCTAGACCAGGGCTCTTGGCCTTGGTAAGGGAGGTGAACACAGGGTTGACAAAGGGTCCCTGATGGTGAAAGGTCCTTCTAAGGTTTTGACGGATATGGTTCACTTACTGGCCCCTATACTATATGACATCAAGGGGCATGGTTTTCTTCGATTCTTTTATTTGTCTTCTTTTGAGGGCGGCCCAGCCCTTGGGGCATATTTCAAAATGATAATCAGGTAAAACCTCAAGACCAGCTGCATATAATCATAGCATCCGGTAGCGCTACTGCGGCACTACCAAGTTACAATGATACAATTTATTTAATCTATTGTTTGGCCCAACTACGCCGTCAACGTCTTGTCATCGCACTACGCTTCTTCTCTCTTTGGTAGCCCCAGAGTGTAACCGCAGTTCGCACCAACTGACGACAGAATCTGCTGAGGACCGCTGAGGAGAATCAGCTAGAGGCACCACCTTTAAGCTGGTATAACTCGCACATCGCGGACCACGGGTTTAAAAGTGGCACCGCTTCATCTATGCGTGACGTCAGCACAAATAAATACGCGTCATTGGCACAGTGGGCGGCGAAGGCCGTTTAGCGAGAAACGCGTCAGTTTGAGTTTAAATCAATGCCTCACTACAAACCAGGCGAAGTATCATTTTCTGGAAACCAACTTGCGTTTTGAAAAGAGGCGCTGTGCTTAAAGCCGTAGGGAAGAATCCGCAGTCATCATATAACGTTTCGTTGAATCCGTTGGATAATGCCCCTATGTTCGTATAAGTGGAAGTGGCAAGAGTAAAGGCTCTCTCCTTTGTTCGTGTAGCTGTAAAGGTTAACCTGTCAAATGATCAAAGCTTACCTGGTCTTTCTGGATTTGATCGTCTGCAGCTGTAACGATCAAGGTCGAAATCATACAAAGATACACCCCAGTCTAATGTTTCAGCGGTGCACTCCGACCCTAAAACAGCTTCGGAAGTATCATTTCACGACGGCCGCTCTCGCCCGCCCGACGCTCGCCGCCTCGTGTTACCAGCAGCGGCCAACGCCGTTCGGTTCTACGGAAGCTTTCACCTCAGTCACCGCTGTTACTGCTCCTTAGATTGCGAAGCGCGGGCTCTCATATGTTTCATGCAATTTGTTTCTTTACCGATTCTGCCAAAGAATGGACGGTCGCAAGCTAAGATCAGGTGTCCCCGTCATTTTTGAACTTATTTCGATCCACTATATTGAACATTAGCAACCCCTTAACTTTTCGCGCGAGGAGCTCGTGAGAAGAACACTAAGGGACACCTAGCCGTTCTCGGCCAAGGGCTGAAGGGCCATTCCGTCCCAGCGCGGCATGCCTATCGGCTGCAATCCTGGTGACACGGGGGACAGGGTTCCATGGTCGAACCGGAGGCCCTAGCGGGATACATCACACATCGATCCTCCCTAGACACGAGAGGTTCTCTGACCCGGGAAGTTCGTCCCAGATCGATGCAGGAGCTCTCATTGATGCAGCTAGATCTCTCATCGCCACAAGTGGTCCAATAATTAGCACGTAGACCCCAGTCCGGTTTAACGGGCCCTTGACTGGAATGGGGGTAGGGGTCTCCCGTTCGGTGCATGGAGCTATGGCTGACGCAGGACCCTTCCACTGCATTAATGTGGACTCTCACCATAAGCTATCATAACTCCTTTTGTCGTCAGAGGCCCTCGACCGACACGTGAGACCCTTGGCATTCCGGGTCCATTCACGGGGAGCATTTGCTGTCTCCGTTCAGTAGATGTTTCCCTGGCCGACCTGGAGCTCGTCGACACAGAATCTCCTGATAGGTACTGTGGATCCCTGACAAATACAGGATCTCCTGTCGGCCACTGTCGGCTCCCAGCAGAGGCCTCGGCCACTGTAAACGGCTGACCCGAGCTTTGTTCCTGCATAGGAAATAATAGGCCCTCAGGCCCATACCGACACGTGACTGGCTGTGCGGTACTGGTGTTTCCAGACAGACACAGATCCCTTATCGGCTCAGGGACTCCCCCATCGTCGCAAACGACCCCCTGACCGTCATTCGAGGACTTGTTCCTGCGGTCAGTGCCTGGGCCTAACAGCGAGTCCGTTAAGTATCCAGCCAGTCCAGCCAGCCCTTATCTCACCGTGAGCTGTTTTTTTTTTACCGCAGCTCGTTCCGCCCCACAGCGTCGATGATGGCGTTGGGTCTATTTTTTATGGCAAGCAAAATAGGCTTTGCGAGTCTATGTCGCTAACCATTCAAATACATTGGTATGAAAGTGAAAACGTACACCAGAAAGTTGAGCGAGATAGGACGGCCAAAACGTCGGGCTCTTCGTATCGATGGCAGATACTGGGGTCAGGCGCATATACTGGGGTCAGGCGCATATAATCAGAGAGCCGAATGCGCAGAATGTTATGGCGAGTATGAGCATGTCCTCACCGCAATTCGATATGCCTAAAAGCTACAGTGCAATCAGCGTGAAACTAGGAAAAACGTGCACACGAAAACGTGCAAACCTTGTTTTTTTACCGGCAACAAGTAGACTATTCCTGGTACGTGCATGCATCACAGAACCGATCTGGTATAAGTAGATTTGTCGCCAATTCCTGTCGCACCTGCATAAGATAATCCTTTTTGGCCCTTCGCCAGGTCTCCTGGAACCGGGCCGACGGCGGTGCCTGCTCGATGCGGACCACTGACGGCTAGATTATGTCACCCTACCCAAGATCCCAGCTCCTGACTGTTCTCAGCTAACTGCACATATTGCCATCGCCATCCCGCCATCACGCACCCGGCGAAATTACACCTCCGGAAAGCACAACACCAAGTGGTAAAAAAACATGGGATATATTTGTCCCTGGATGATCAAGACGTACGCTTTTAGCGGATCGTGTATCCGTGAGTTCGCCTCTAGTGTACTGAAACGACGGGAAAACCGTGCGCTGGACGATTGTAACGGAGCGGGATTAAGTCCATGTAGCTCCTAGATTCGGGGCTAAATTTGCTTCTCTTGAAATATCTTGCGTTTTTAGCAATTCAATGAAAAAAGGAATGCAATTTATCAGACGTGCCCTTTCTTGGCACCAGACAGTCAAAAACCCCGCCAGCAGAATGCTGCCACTACACAGTTTCGGCCAAACCACCCGGACGGATCGGTGACAGCTGAAATGACCCCAAACAAGGAGTCGGACACGAACTACAAGACACAAACCAAAACACGTGAAATCACAAGCTTTCAGCTTCAGCGCCACGAGGAGATCCGCCTATCTCGCTTAACAGAGACAGCTCAGAAATCAAGTCTCGCACCGGGCTGAACAACAGCTGATCCGAACAACACTAAAACATATCCGCGGGACACAGCGTCCGCCTGCACAAAAGAGCGCGCCGAAAACCGTCAGACCGGAATGAGCAGCGCTGGCGCCGGCGCCCGTTGCCGAGCCCGCCGGCGCCGGCCGCCGAGCGCGGAGGCGGCGCGAGCGGGCGGCGCCAGCGCTCGCGGGGTGCCTAGGGCGGTCGAGCGTCAGCCGTCGCCGCACGCGAGCGCCAGCTCCAGCAGGTGACGCACGTCTCGTGGATCCTCCGCCTCGCCCGGCGCGTCTGCAACGGCACGGCCGGCGCGTCAGCTCCCTGCTCAGCCCGAGCCAACCCGGCCACACGTCCACACCGGCCTGCCAGACCACGCACACAGACGGATACGGCGCGGCTTTTTAAGGGGCAATACATGCTTGGTGCAAGTGAAAGCTTGATGACAGGCGCGACAGTTTTTCGTGACCACGAGCGCGGCCTACTGCCACGCGAACATTCTATCGCAGACCATCTCACCAACGACACGAGCCGACCGAACTCGCGCAAGCATCGGCACTACCGGGCCCCACCGCTGGCGGCGGCCGGCACGGCCGCACGCGCCGTACCTGTGCCGCCGCTGATGTCTCTGTCCAGGCTGAGCTTCTCCTGGCCGACCTGCAGCATACACTCGTCGATGGAGTTGGCGCAAATCAGCTTGATGACCTGCACCTCCCTGCGGTAACGCCGCAGGGTCACGTGGCGGGCCAGGCGCCGCTCACGGACGACACCGTCTCCAAACGGCCGCACCACCGCGACGCACCCGCCCCATGTCAGGTCTCCATTCTACCATGGCACGCGCAATTGCTTCGGCTGTCGAGATCTCGCTCTCCGAGAACAGCGGTCAAGACGATCAACCGGTCGCGACATCTGGAACCCAAGACGCATTCGCCAAATCCAGCGGGTGAGCCCTGACACCCATCTCAGCCTCGTCCCCCACTCCAAGAGCGGCACAGCCGAGCGCAGCACAGCCGAGTGCCAGCAGCGGCGGCGCCCCTGATCGGAGCGCGTCGGCCCGCGCACGGGGCCGGTGCGTACCGCGGCCCGCGCCGCGGCCGGCGGCGCGCCTCACCTGGTCTGACCGATCCGGTGGCAGCGGTCCTCCGCCTGACGGTCATTGTGCGGGTTGAAGTCGACGTCGTGCAGGATGACCACGTTTGCCGAGGTCAGGTTGATGCCTAGGCCGCCCGCGCGCGTCGAGAGCAGGAACACGAATATGTCTCTCTCAGAGTTGTACTTGTCGATCAGCTCCAGCCTGGGCAGGGCGCGCCGAGTCACACGGCGGCGTCACAGAGGCATGCATGCTGCCACGGCCACCTCGTCCGTGACGTCACACGACCAGTGCTGACGTCCGGGGTCGGGGCGTGGCGTGACAAAAATCACCTCTGGGACCGCCGTCCAGGGTCGGGGCGTCGTGTGACAAAGCCCACCTCTGGGACCGCCGTCCAGGGTCGGGCCTGGGGCGACAAGGCCCACCTCTGGGACCGCCGTCCGGGTCGGACCTGGGGCGACAGGGCCCACCTCTGGGACCGCCGTCCAGGGTCGGGCCTGGGGCGACAAGGCCCACCTCTGGGATCGCCGTCCGGGTCGGACCTGGGGCGACAAGGCCCACCTCTGGGACCGCCGTCCAGGGTCGAGGCGTCGTGTGACAAAGCCCACCTCTGGGACCGCCGTCCAGGGTCGGGCGTGGGGCGACAGGGCGACCTCCGTGATCGCCGTCCTGGGTCGGGCGTGGGGCGACAAGGCGACCTCCGTGATCGCCGTCCAGGGTCGGGCGTGGGGCGACAAGGCCCACCTCTTCTCGGACCGCCGTCCTGGGTCGGGCGTGGGGCGACAGGGCGACCTCCGTGATCGCCGTCCTGGGTCGGGCGTGGTGTGACAGGGCGACCTCCGTGATCGCGGTCCAGGGTCGGGCGTGGTGTGACAGGGCGACCTCCGTGATCGCCGTCCAGGGTCGGGGCGTGGCGCGACAGACAGGGCTGACCTCCGGGACCACCGCTCTACAGCGAGCGAGTCGAAGGCACTGGCGTCGGTGCACGCGCGCGGCGGCACCCTCCGTCGCGCGCACCTCGACCCCGCGTCCGACGCTGCACCGAGTGCGCCGCGGAGAACCGGGCCCCCGCGGAGCCGGCGGTGCGGCGGACGGGCGCCGGCGCCACCCACCGGTCGGTCACCGCCGTCTGGCCGTCCAGGCGGCAGTACTTGTGTCCGCGGAGCCGCAGGTACGCCTCCAGCACGTCCAGCATGATGACAAACTGGCTGAAGAGTAGGACGCGGCTGCCGTCGCGCTTCAGCTGCGGCAGCAGCTGGTCCAGTGCCGCGCACTTGCCCGAGTCCAGGATCAGCTGGTCCGGCAGCTGGTGGCCGCGCAGCCGCTGCCGGTCGGGCCAGGCCAGGTCAGGTGAGGCGGGTCACCAACGGTCAACTCGACACCGCCTGAGTACGGACGCCAGGGGTGGGTCAGACGCCAGAGATGACGGTGAAATGCAATATCTTACAGGGGGCGGCAGTGGGTTCCTCAAGGCTCGTGTATTACGCTAGGGTGGCAAAGGGAAGGCGTTCCAGGGAGGGATCCTGATGAGCCTTTGAAGAATCCCGTAGCATCTTGGACATTGCTGCCTCGATGTCAATACTATAAGGGACATGTGACAAGTCCACTTACCGGATAGAGCTTGCAAGTCTGGTGAATCTCGAAGTCACTCATGTATGTTAGGTCTTCCAACACCAGCGCCTCCTCTTTGTGCTCGTGGTCAGGCATCGCAACGAAGATTTTGGTGATCTCTCGGAGCTGAAACGAAAGCGTTCAGCCAATGCTCCAACACATGCATACCTACAAACGCCATGCAAATTAAGTGGGAAGAACATGCGGCCAAACAAATCCTAAGTTTCACCCAGACGCTGCGCATACTAGGCAAAACAAGCGACACGGATGTCTTAATGTAATCACCCCGATTATTTGCTGGATGATCAGCACCACATCAGGCTGTTGGTATTGGACGGTTACTTCTCAGGTGTTGCCTAGTAAGACCTGGATGAAGCGCAGCCACTTGGCCATATCCCGCCAGTCTGGATCAAGTACTTCTAGTGTATAATAGCACGCTACTTTCCATAGCATAACGAATAACGACCATCACGTCTGTGCAATGCGACCACATCGCTTCCATGCCCACGCGACAACTCTTCCTTCCGTGTCAGCCGAACCCGCCGCTGAGAGCCGCCCCCCCCCCCGCCCGGCCACAGAGCGGTACTGTCCGAGATCCCCGCGGCGCCGACGGGAGCCCGCCGCTGAGAGCCGCCCCCCCCCCCCCCCCCCCCCCCCGTCCCGCCCGGCCACAGGGCGGTGCTGTCCGAGTTCCCCGCGGCGTCGACGGGAGCCCGCCGGCGCGGCACCGCGTGCCGAGTCCAGTACCGCGGCCGGCAGCGGCTCCACCCACCTTGGCGTCGTCGTAGTAGTGGCGCAGCAGCAGCGGGTGGTTGGCCAGCTTCCGCATCGACATGACGAGGCCGATGCCGGTCTGGGAGACGTCAGCCGCCGAGCCCCGCAGCTGGACGCCAGGACCACGGTCAAGCGCACGCGCAGGCACAGCGCCAGCTCGGGGGCCCACTCATCGTTAGTGCCAATATCATTTTCTTGGTGTGCTATGCAGTGGGGCATTATGATATACTAAGCTCCGTTCTTTTAAGCAGCAGCGGCCTGCAATGACAACGAACGCCCCCTCCCCTCTCGCACCCTCGTCCAAATTTTTCGGTATACGCAGACTGCCAGGTCGCACACAAAGTACGAAGCGGAGCGCTTCCTCGACTTTAAGCACTCGCCGAAATACCTAAACGCAGAAAAACCTGCCCCGCAACACACACGCCTCCCCCCCCTCCCCTTCCCAAACGGGAGCCACCGGCTGAAAAGAGGCAAGGCGCCCACCTTGTCGGAGGTCTCACGGACGAAGTTGTCTCGCAGCTGGCGGTACTTGGCTGCCTGGCCGGCCGTCATGGCTATCCGCCGCACCTCCTCGCGCTTAGCCGGCAGGTCGACCAGCACGTCCCGCTTCAGCCGCCGCAGGAAGAACGGCGACATGATGCGTTTGGCCTCACTGATGCGCGCCGCCTCGTACGAGGAGCGACTCTCCTGACCGGACGCCTTCTGTGGACGGGACGGGCCGGGGGGGGGGGGGGGGAGGTCACGGCCGCCTCGTGCGAGGAGAGGCTTTCCTACGACGCCTTCTGTGGACGGGACGGGCCGGGGCGGCGAGGTCACGGCCGCCTCGTACGAGGAGAGGCTCTCCTGACCGGACGCCTTCTGTGGACGGGACGGCCAGTGCGGAGTGGTCCCGGTCAGGGCGGGGAGGTCGCAGCCGGCCCGGACGACGCCGCCGCAGCGTCGCGTGGCGGCCGCGACAACAGTGACGTCACAGCGCGCGCAGCGGTGCCATGCTAACCATGGCGGGAACAAAATATGTAGTGGCCAGGGTCCATGTGGCTGCAGTGAACATTGTAAAGCGACAGCATGACGACAGTGAAGGCCAAACTGGGTAACGTCTGAGCAACCCTAGAAAAACAGTGGATTTATCAAGGTGACCTAATCTGGCTTGCAACGTGTCGTGCAATACGATTGTGGCCGAGGCAAGACAGATCCCCTTTGACATTGCAGCCGACGCTGAGTCATGCCAACACCGCCCCGCCCACAGCCAGAGCTGCGTTATTTCGGGCCCCGGCAGACAACGATGCGTGACCACCGCCTCCCTATCACACGCACGCACACACACACATACGCGTGCACGCACGCACACGGACACCCCAAACGGAGGGACGCAACGGGCACAGCACTGATAGGACACACGCCCCCGCCCCCGTCCCCGTCCCCGTCCCCGTCCCGTGCCATCCCCGTCCCCGTCCCGTGCCATCCCCGTTCCCGTCCCCGTCCCCGTCGCCGTCCCCGTCCCGTCCACGTACCGGGATCACCTCGAACATGGTCTGAAGCGACTGTCGGAACTTGCCGAACATGTGCGGCATGACGAACACCAGTAGCGACATCAGCTCCAGCAAATTGTTCTGCAGCGGCGTGCCCGTCAGCAGTAGCCGGTGCTCCCCCTGGCGGCGGGAGGCCCGGTCAGCGGCGGTCAGCGTCCCCTACCAACCCCACCGGAGCCAGGCCGGACATGAGAGGACGTCCCACATTCACGAAAGTACGCTGCGTAGATATGTTTAATTACGCATCTAATTACGCATCATACTAAAACATGTAAGATGTCGTATGGTACATGTCAAAATCAATTGCATACATGTGTGCCTGCTCCCTTTTAATGCCTGGCAAAGCTATGCCTCCAAACCCGGGCCGGAGAGTAAACATATCAGGGTACTACTTGCGCACTTAAGGTATCACTAGCCCTTGAAGCCCACTTAAGGTATCACTAGCCCTTGAAGCCCACTTAAGGTATCACTAGCCCTTGAAGCCCACTTACGATCAGCCTCATGAGATTCGTGTATCGTTTGGAGCCCATGTTCTTCAGCATATGCGCCTCGTCGAACACAATGTACTTGAAGCTGAGGTTTCTGAAGAGCATCCTGTCCTCCGGGGAGCTGGCCACCGTATTGTACCTGCAACGAGAGCGAAGCGCCGCTCCGGCATGGGATAATGCACCGCTTCGTCTCCCTCCCAGCTGTGACTCAGCACACGCAGACGCATCACCAGGTAAGGTACAGCATGGCGGCGCTGGGGCGAAGGTTAATGACAGGGGGAGCTGTCATTTAGCAGACCGACAGCCGCATTGCGAAGACAGGTTTTCAGGCAATGGCCGAAACAGACAGGATCAAGAATAACAGCAAAAACGCGTCTAAAGATCATTTAACCTTTCCAACAAACTTGGGCCCTTCGCATTACAACGCGGCAGATGGTGACAACAAATAGTGATGTAACGATGCCACGCCAATGTCAACGACAGTATCCATATCCGTATCCATGACACGTTTTAGCGACAGTGACCGGCACAACTCCCAGCGGCATCCCACAGGACAGTCACTGGCACAAATCCCAGCGTCAGCTCACAGAACGGCGACCGGCACACATCCAGCGGACCCTCACAAGACAGCGACCGGCACACATCTCAGCGACAGTTTACGGGCCAATGACGGACGGCCGCCCCAGTGACCCGACAGCAGGACGCTGGCGTGCGCGCGCGTCCGTGACTCACGTGGTGACGACCACCTGCCAGTCGTGCTGTTCGCGCAGCAGCAGTTGCCGCAGGTCGCGGCGCTGTTCCAGCGAGCCGCGGTACTCCACCACCGAGAGCGAGGGGCACCACACCGACAGCTCCCGCACCCAGTTGTCTGGCCGGAGGGCGGGCCGCGGGTCAGAGCGCCTCACCACCACCGACAGCTGTACCGAGTGTGCATGCTCGGAGCCAGCCGCCTGCCGACTCAGCCAGCTGGGCGCCGGCTGTGCGGGCCAACCGTCCGATGTCGCGGCGAATCACCGCACCGGCCGACGGCTCGACTCGCGCCTAGCCCGCGGTCGGTGGGGGAGGGGGGGGGGGGGCGGGGAGAGAGCGTCCGGCGCCGGGCGCGCCGGGCTCGACCAGCGCACACGCCAAACGCTGGCGCCAGCGCATCAGCCGACGCACGCGACGTGTGCAGCTCTGAGCATGCGCCTACGTCTTCGGCATTTACTTATCAGATGAAATCACAGCATTTGTTATCACAATGGAACTGAATTGCAAAGGAATGACTTAAGCCGCCACATTATAAATTTGTTATCACAAAGGGTATGAATTGCAAGGGAGTGGCTAAAACCATCATATTATTACCACATAAAGACCCTCAGAAGCCTACGCGCAATAGGAAAACCAGCGTAACAGGGCCATTCTCAGAACGCAACTGATTTGAAGCCTGCAGCCGATACGTCCTGACTCTTGGCGTCTCCGAACAACACCAGGGTTCACATGGACGGTGTCCACGCCCGACGCGCGCCGAGCGTCTGACCGACCGACCACCTCGCCTTTCGGGAGTGCGATTACACGGCGGTCGAGCGCGCGACGTACCGAGCGTGGAGGACGGCACCACCACCAGGTACTTCCAGGCGGCGTTCTGCTGCTGCAGGTACGCCAGGAAAGAGATGGCCTGGATCGTCTTGCCGAGGCCCATCTCATCTGCGGGGGGGGGGGGGTGAGTACTCAGTCCGTGGAAACAGCACACGCACCGTACACGCTTTAAAGCGGGATAGCACGCACTTCCACACCAGGGCGGAGTTAACGCGTCCACATCCTACACCCGTGACCAGTTAGGCCGAGCCGCGCAGCCCCAGCCCACGGACTGGCGCCTGGGTACCTCGCGCCACTGACCTGCCAGCACCGCGTTCAGCCCCTCCTTGAACATGATGATGAGCCAGCTGAGGCCGATCAGCTGGTATGGAGACAGCCGCATCCTGCCAGAGCGTGGGGCAGCTGGTCAGATGGGACACGGCGGACGGCAGCGGCGGCGCCAACACGGCCACTCGCGGCCTCTGTCGCAGCAACAGCGGCGACCCCTCGACAGTAAGCCCGCGCTGGGGAGGCTGAACGACCGAGCAGTTCAGAGTTGGCTTCCAAACAGCTGTCAGGACAGGGTCGAGGTCGAGAGAACAGCTGACCGACACGACTTCAGTTAACGCTGCCGGCATACATCCCACCGCACGCCAGCCAGCACGCAACAATGCAGCCATGCAATGCGCGGCAGCTCAACGGCGTGGCGATGGACGACCGTCACAGCCAAAGCAAACGGCAGTGTCGGGAGCCGACAGCGGCCAGGCGCGTTGTAGCGCAACCCATTTACACCCAGCTGGCGCCTGGCCCAGCGGAGCACACGGACAGCACAGGGTCAGGGCGTACAGCCCGCCCGTGTGGCCGCGACGGCGGCGGCGGCCGTACTCGGAGTTGAGGTTGGAGGGCTGCTCGGTGATCTTGTCCTGGTCGGCGCGGCCCTGCACCAGCTCGGCCACCCGCGCCTTCAGCTTCAGCGCGATGTCGCCGCACCGCTGCAGCAGCCGGTCCAGCATCTGGCGCATGCGCAGCACTCGCAGCGTGGCGTTCAACATTTGCGGGTTCAGGCCCTTCAGGCCCATAAAACGGGCCAGCTGCGGTGACACACGGCGGCCGTTACCACTCACGTTCGGGTGACGTGCGCGTGTCACCCGGCGAAGCAAGGTGTAGATACGCTATTGTAACAGCATGGCGTGGCGTTCGGACAGGTGGTGTCCACGACATCAGCCTCGCCCAAAATCAAACTAACGCACATCATGACCTCATCGATGCGTATTACATCAAAGCACGGCATCAAAACCAATAGGAAGAACGACGTCCTGTAAATTCGTTATAGCGTAAATAATTATTCTGATTTATATCCCATTAGGCTGTCGGATGCAGTTCCGCTGTATCCATGACCTGCTCAAACTATACGCAGCTGTGGCCAAGGTACACGTGTATACGACCAGCACAAAACTTGATAAAACTGAACAAAACAGAGCCGTGTTCAGACCATCAACAACCGTTGATAACCATGTCCGGTCAATCGTTGAATTGAAACGCATTCCCCACCAACCAGCGAGCGACACGAGTGCCACTCTCCAAAATGTTCGGTATCATTTGAAGCAACGACTCAGCTTCCACGATGACACCCTCTGGCCTTTCGGGCCCCAATCACCGAAAGCCAGCAGCCAAACACCAAGACGCCTAACAAAGCCCCCTCCCCGCCCTAAAACGCTGCCGGGCACCAGGCCTGGCGGGCGCGCAGGTCTCACCGCGGCCGACCAGTCGGCGAACGGTCGCTGCTGGACGATCAGCTCTGCCTTCTTGCGGCTGCAGCCGTTGATGCAGGCCAGCTCGTCGGTGGTGGCCGAGTCCAGGTACTGCACCACCAGGCGACGGTCGGCGGCCAGCCGCAGCCCGTCGGGCCGCCGCCGGCCGCCGCCGGCCGCCTCGTCCTCGTCGTCGTCGCTGTCACTGGACGCGAGGCACGGCTGGTTACCGCGGGCGCCGGCCGGACGGAGGGCCGGGCCACGCGGAGAGGCGCCAACGCACTCGAGCGGGAAGTTGGACACGTAGGTGTACTGGACTCGCCAGTGACATGGGTGGTGCCTCTCACAGACTGCGGTGCTTGGCGTACACGTTTGAGAAAACAATGAATGGGAAAACGTGGGTCCCTGAAAACACTTACGACGACGGCAAACGGCCTACAAATTGCCCGTGTCCGCTGCTATGGTGACAAGCGGGGCTTCCCGAAACTATGACGCACATTTGGTAGGTTTTTACTGTGTTATAGCTAAGAAACATACGTTTGTTTACATCATACATCTCCAACGTCTGCGCGTCTGTGACGTCCGTGGCCATAATGTTGTGTCCATGATGCCCGTGCCGACCATATTGTGTACCCGCTGTTGGCGGCGACTCTACAATATATAAAACAAGGACAACACGCGCTCACTCATCTCTATCTGCTTACCGCCCAAAAACAGACGGAATAATGCGTGACGATCGGTCAGCCGAGTCAGGCACTTCCCGCAAATTGCAATGCAAGCCCCGGCACTAACTCCTAGCTCTGAGTTCCAGATATTCCCTATCCTCCCCACACCCGCGACTTAAGACAAGCAACTCCTGCCTGTGGTGACAGCGAAGCCTTCGTACCTCATGTAGACGACGCACTTTGCCTCGAAATCCTCGTCGTCGCTGTCGTCCGCTGCCGCCGCTTCAGAGGGCGGCCGTCGAGCCGGCTTCGGCTTCGGTTTCGATTTCGGGAGCCCGTTCGTCGCCGCTGCCAGAGCGGCGACACCAGGTCAGCAACGCAGCCCGCTGGAGCGGCGCGCGCGGCGTAGGTCGTCGTCACGGACTCCGCCATCGGGTCAGGACGCCGGCATCACGCGTCGGGGGGACGCGTACGCGTATGTGCGCGCGGCAGTGGCTCGCCGGGTCGCTTTCTGTGACCTAGCTATGAAGAGTACGGCGTGACAGACGGTGCCCCGCTGGGACATCAGCAATGAGAGCGGGTAACCCCGTGCACCCGCCATGTGCAGCTCGCCTCCGTGGAGTGGGAAACTACCGGATCGAAGGCTGACTGAAGAGTAATGGCACGTGACCAGCAGACAAGCACGCATGATCAAGTTAAGTTGGAGCAGGTAACACATAGCAGCACTCGACACATGCAAGCATCGTAGAGCCGTCATTCACATGAGCAGGAGATGGGGCAGGTGTACCACACCGTGCCCCACATAAGGAGTGTTTCGTTGCTGAAAAGCCGCACTCCCCCCCCCCCCCCCTGTCCCTTCCCCTCCCCCTCCCCCAGCGGATCGAGCCCCGCTCCCTTCCCAGCGGATCGGATCCCGCTTCCCTCCCCGCGGATCGGGCCCAGAGGATCGAGCCCCGCTTCCTAGCAGGTCGAGTCCCGCTCCCCTCCTAGAAGATCGGGTCCCACTACCTCCCAGCGGATCGGGCCCCGCTTTCCTCCCAGCGGATCGAGTCCCGCTCCCCTCCCAGCAGACCGGGCCCCGCTCTCCTCCCAGCGGGTCGAGCGCCGGCCGGTCACCTCTGGCGGCGCCGTTCTGGAGGCCGTTGCTGGCCGGCGCGGCGGGCTTGCCGTCCTCGTCGCTGCTGTCCGACTCGAGCAGGACCAGCCGGCGCCGCTTGACCGCCGGCCTGGCGGCGGCCGCGGCCGGCTGGGGCGCCGTCTCAGGACTCCGGTCACCGGCCTTCTCCACCAGAGCCGCCATGGCTGGCTCCAGGCACCACCCGTGCTGCGCCAGACAGTCCTGCAGCTCCTGAGACACGGCCGGGGAAGCGGCGGTCAAGTGGGGCGGTCGGGTGGACCAAGGTCACAGCCACGGGGCGGGCAGTCTTGCTACGCAGGCCGACAGTACAGGCCCCAAATATTGAAAAAGGACCAATTCCGACGACACATCAGTTTATTGGCGCATTTCGGGGTAGGTATCGTATTTCTTCTTGGCCCAGTCCCACCCTCACCCCCTCGGCTGATTCATTTTGATAAACCATGCAACTGAGCGTATTTGCATTTTCCTTATCACCTTCGCAGCTCTCAACACCCCGGAGGACAGAAAGACCTGGCCCATGGGGCAGATATCACTCACGTGCTGACACGGGTACCGACAGCCCGGACAAGGACGCGGGCAGCCCAGACACGGAGAGCAGACAGCCCAGATACGGAGAACAGACAGCCCGGACGCGGAGAACAGACAGCCCAGACACGGAGAACAGACAGCCCAGACACGGAGAGCAGACAGCCCAGACACGGAGAGCAGACAGCCCAGACGCGGAGAACAGACAGCCCAGAAACGGAGAGCAGACAGCCCAGACACGGAGAGCAGACAGCCCAGACCGGAGAGCAGACAGCCCAGACGGAGAGCAGACAGCCCAGACGCGGAGAGCAGACAGCCCAGACCGGAGAGCAGACAGCAGACAGGAGAGCAGACAGCCCAGACGCGGAGAGCAAACAGCCCAGACGGAGAGCAGACAGCCCAGACGCGGAGAGCAGACAGCCAGACACGGAGAGCAGACAGCCCAGACGCGGAGAGCAAACAGCCCAGACGCGGAGAGCAGACAGCCCAGACGCGGAGAGCAGACAGCCCAGACACGGAGAGCAGACAGCCCAGACGCGCAGACAGCCCAGACGCGGAGAGCAAACCGCCCAGACGCGGAGAGCAGACAGCCCAGACGCGGAGAGCAAACAGCCCAGACGCGGAGAGCAGACAGCCCAGACGCGGAGAGCAAACAGCCCAGACACGGAGAGCAGACAGCCCAGACACGGAGAGCAAACGGTCTTCGTCACAGCGCAGAGGCATACAGCCCCGTCACAGAGCACACACGTGACCCAGCGGAGCTCGACGGCGCCATTCTGTCACAAACCACCGATGAGAAGCTGCTCAGTCCACTCTGACCACGCAGACGAACGGCGCATGCGTGGGGAGGGGGAGGGGAGGGGGGGGGGGGGCACCACCCGAGCGTCGGGCAGCCGGCGAGTTACCATGGCGTCTGCATCGGGGAAGGCCTCCTGCATGAAGGCCAGGTTGCGGTCGATCGCGCGGGGACTATCGGGGGCAGACGGACAGGTCGGTTCCGGGTCCGGCGCCGGCGCCGGCTCCGGCTCCTTCTCCTTCTCCTCCTCCTCCCCGTCATCCTCCGAATCGCTCAGCACGCACCGCTTAGCCGGCCTCTGCAACACGCGGACCGCGGGATAAAGTGAGGGCCAAAGAGGCTGGTGAAAGTCAGCGGCAGCAGCTGTCATCACGTGAGGACAGCGGTGACCCGAAGGCAGACACAGTGGCGGGCAGGCGGCGGCAGTCCAGTCCCAACAATCACATGGATGGGGAATCACGGGGAGAGAGGCGTGTACCCTGCTGAGCTTAACAACTTCGTCGCAGCCGCGTTCGGTGCGACACGTAACAAGTCGATTCGCCAGACAAGGTATTTCAATTGATATTGTGCTCACGCTATTGTGCCCAGTAAGCACAAACAGCCATCACGTGCTCTGTCAAATCTCAACGTGTCGGAAAACCGGAAATGTTTATGACGCACAAACTACTTGCTCCAAATAAGCAAGTTGGTGGTATTACGCAAGGCATTTCTTTTCTCATCATTATCACATGGCCCCGTAAAACCCTCCAAACATTGCCGTAGCCGACGGTATTTCACGTCGTCCCGGACGGGGTATTGGGTAAAGTTTTCAACTAGCAATAACAGCACCTCGGATGAACCTCATTAGTTACTGTATCGCCACTGCGCAAAGATACTTCTCTGATTTCATTTCATTTGCTTGTTTGAGGCGTTTCGGCCTGTTCAGACCATCTCACGCCTGGATGATGTTATTTTAAATTGGTGTAATTATGTATGTGAAGAAAAGTGCACGTTTATTGACATTTACAAAGCTTGAAGCAAACCGGCAAGTCTGAGAAAGTTAAAGACAATGTTAAGCAGTTCAGGATGGTCATCGCCAAGGACGTTTTTTAAAGAAAACTCGATATTTTAATTACGACAAAAAGCCTGCATATATTTGCGGTCCTGTTGATATCTTGTGCACTCAATAACAATGTGTTTAACCGAAAGTGGATGATCGCAAGGCTGACAGTGAGGACGAGGTTGACTTAAGTATATGTAACTATGTGTGAGTGTAGTGTGTCCGATTCGTAAACGGGCCAGCACCTTCTCCTCCAGGCGGTCTTTACGATGCGTTGATGGCCAAGGGGTAATGTCTGGTTTGGTATCATGAAGTTGTGTTCTGGTAGTATCGGTCCATTGTTGTTGCCAAAAACGTTTTGTCATTGTGCGAATGGAATGTTTTGTAGATGCATGCTCCGCAGGGATCTCCATGATGTGTTGGTTTGTCAAAGCTTCCTTGGCTAGTTGGTCAGCCCGTTCATTGCCCATGATGACTGTATGTCCTGGAATCCATAGAAATTTGATATTCATATCCTGTGTATGTAATATATGATAGAGATTGACGATTTTAACAAGGAGGTGGTATGTAAAGTCTGGGTCAATAAGAGATTGCACAGCTGTCTTTGAATCCGAACAAATCACTATTGTCTTCGTTTTGTGGGTGTGTTGTTGAATGTGTTGCAATGCAAGGAAAAGAGCAAATATTTCAGCCAAATATACTGAGGTGCCATCCGGTAACCGACAGTTTTTATGGCAATGTTCAGTGCAAATAGCTGCACATCCGGTGTGGTTATTGGCCTTGGAGCCATCGGTGTAAATAAAGTTGCTATTTTGATTGTTGAAAATTAGACGATTAAATGTTTGTTGAACATAACTTGCTGTGAAAATGCGTTTGGGATCATCAAAAAGAAACAAAACTTTCCGAGGGGTTAACTGCCATGGTGGTACTATTAAAGCAGGTGGCATGGAAGAAGGCGGTGAAGTAAACTGAAGAGCGGTACAGTAGATAGTGGTTCGAGATGCTATTGTAAGTCCTGAGCGACGTTCTGCCGGTCCTACGTAGTCATGGTGAATGTGAGGTAAGACATGTATGGATTTAAAAGCTGGGTGACGGATTTTGTCGCACTTTTGTGATGTAGCTCAATGTGTGTTCCATTCGTCGGAGGGCAAGAGGCATAACATGAGCGTCCACTTCAAGCGCTGAAATCGGGGAAGTACGCAGAGCTCCTTGGGCAACTCGCAAAAACATATTTTGTATGGTGGATAGTGATTTGAGTGTGTTGGCTGCCTCCTGCATATACCACGGAGCCATATTCAATGATGGGAAGAACTAAGGATTTGTATAGACGTAATAACGATTGGCGGTCGGCACCGTATGTTGACCCGGAAATACATCTAAAGAAATTTAGTCTTTTTAGGCATTTGGAGCGAACATGCTCCACGTGCTGTCGCATCGATAATCTGGGGTCAAGTACGATGCCAAAAAATTTGAAAGACGAAACGAAGGGAATGTGGTGTCCATCTAGTCGAAGCCGAAAATTGGGAGTATCACGCATATTTTTGCCGAAAATCATAACTGCAGATTTGGGAGCGGAGAAGAGGAACCCGTATCGCTCTGACCACTGCTGCACCTTGTTTAGGGCGGCTTGGAGCCGTGGCAGCGAATGGTCATATTCGGCGTCTGAGCACCAGATGGCGCCATCATCCGCAAAAAGTGAAGAGGAAATACCCGATGGTAATGAGTCAAATAAATCGTTTATCATAAAATTAAAAAGAATCGGTGAGATACAGCTCCCTCGTGGGAGGCCGCTCTCCATATGGTGAGTGTCGGAAACGGCGGATCTGCATCTCACAGGAAATGGTCCGATGCCGGAAAGAAACCCAATAAGATAATGTGCAAAATGGCCTTTAAACCCTAACTGATGGAGCTCGAAAATTAGTGCAGGTTTAAAGACCATGTCGCAGGCTCGGCTAATATCCAGGAATACAGCAGTTGTGTGGTGTCGATGTTTAAAGAAAAGTCTGATGTCAGTTTGAAGTCTGATGACATGGTCTATTGTGCTAGGATTGTGTCGGAAACCACATTGATTTTCTGTAAGCAGGCAGTCTCGTTCTACAATCCAAGAGATTCGCTTCACCACCATCCGCTCAAAAAGTTTTCCTAGACAGCTGGTAAGTGCAATGGGACGATAATTTGATGGATCTTTGGTGTCTTTTCCTGGCTTTGCAAGTGGAATAATGATGGTGTCTTTCCAGGCGTCAGGAAAGACATGGGTTGACCACAAATCGTTAAAAACTGCCAATATAAAACAAAGCATATCTTCTGAAAGATTACGAAAAAAAGAATAGTGTAACTGATCATGACCTACTGAGGTGTTGCCGGCGAATTTTATAGCCTTTTGTAGTTCCAGAAATGAAAATGGTAAATTATAGTCTTCGGTGTTATCGGAAACAAAACAATCAGCATGTAAACGAAAACGGGCTTGCGCAGTCTCCACAGATCCTGGTCGGTAATTTCCAGATGAGCTACACTGAGAGACTTTCAGCAAGAGCATTGGTGATAAGAGGTGTTGCCGAAATGATTTAATTATTAATGCGTAAAGTGGGCAATGAAATAGAGGTGCGTTTTCCGGAAAGTGCTCGAACCAGTCCCCATAGCTGGCTTAGGGGAGTAGCAGCAGTGAACTGCTGGAGATATGCTTGCCAAGAATGACGTTTGGCACTCCTTATAATTCGTCTGGTTCGAGCACGCTCATAATTTCGGGCAAGAAGATGAGGTACATCATGGTGGCGACGAAAGCAGCGGAAAGCACGTTACCGTCGCGCAATAGCGTTCTTAACTTCGGTTCGTCCACCATGGTACTGGGATGCGGCGTGATGGCGTTTTAGTAAGTGGAATTGTCGCGGTTGCTGCAGCATGAATAATATGTGTAATAAGGCCAACGAGCTATAAGGCCATAAGGGCCATGAGGGCTCTGGCCATAAGGGCCACTAGGCCATAAGGGCTCTGGTGATTCATAACAGTCTCGGTTCACATAACAAAGTTCTTGAAATTTGGCCCAGTCTGCTTTTCGTAAATTTCAGCGGGGCATGGATTGCAAAACTTCGTCAGCGGCTGCGTCAAAAGCGGAGTAAAGTTTAATTGGAAAATGGTCGCTGTCGTGTATATCTCCCCCAACAGTCCAATCAAAGTATGTTGCTATTGAGGGAGAGCACAGCGACAGGTCGATGGCTGTTTCTGTACTAGTGGGTAAGTGGTGATGAGTATTACTGCTTTTGTTTAACAGGACTAAGTTGTGTGTATCAATAAAATCTTCAACCAAATGTCCTCGGCGATTAACGGCTTGGGTGCCGTTACTCCAAGCTGGACTGCGAGCGTTGAGATCGCCGAGGATGAGAAAAGGGTTTTGAAATTGAGCGACGAGTTGGTCAAGTTGCCGCAAGAGCTCCGTATTATTAAAATTTGGTGTAATGTATATTGAGCATATATCGATGGTACGACCATGCAGTCGAACTGAACATGCAACGGCCTGAAAAGGTGTGTTAAAGAGTGAGTGGCGTGTGTGTTAATTTTTGACTGATGTACAGCGCCACCCCACCTTGGCGACGCTCACCGTCCATCGTGTCATAGCGATATAACGAGTAATTTGGCATTTTAAAGTTATATGTGTCGGTGGGACGAAACCATGTTTCCTGTACGGCAATGATGACTGGAGATAGTACGGCAAAAAGTGCTTTCATTTCGGACCATTTTGAAATGAGACCACGACAATTCCACTGTAAGATGAAAGACATTTAGTGATGAAGGGATCCATTCCCACCGGTTGATGGGAATCGCCCGAACGAAACACACCTAGGCCGTCCCATCGCCACCCTCACCGGTGGACGGGACCGGCGGTCTTCGTTCGGGCGTGTTTCGACAGGTGTTGTGGTGGGGGAAGGGGAGGTGATGTTTGTGTGGTGGCCAGAGGGTCCGGGCCGCCGACTGTTCATAGCCGGGGGGCTAGAACGCCGGACGGCCTGACCCGCACGTGAATCACTCACAGCCGGCGGGCTGGAACGCCGGCCGACCTGAGGACGGGGGTGCACGGGCGCCTGGGCATCCGAACGTCCAGCCAGGGGCGACTCAACGGCATTTTTCGTCTGGGTCTGTGTAGTTGACTCAACTGAAACCGAGGGGCGAGGGTTGAGAAGTTTCAGGAGAGGCAGATGGGTGATAGGGTCTGTCTGTGTTGCACATGTGGCCATCGTGGCTTTTGCTACTTGTGCATATGTTTT